CCTAGCCCCTAACCTGAAACTTCCATTTATTTATTTATGTATTTATTTATTTTTCAAAAGATCTGGAAAAAAAGTCTTTGGGGCTGGAGCACAATGGGTTGGGCGTTTGTCTTGTACACAGCTGACCAAGGCCGACCCGGGTTCGATTCCTCCGCCCCTCTCGGAGAGCACAGCAAGCTACTGAGAGTATCTCGCCTACACAGCAAAGCCTGGCAAGTTCCCCGTGGCGTATTCAATATGCCAAACACAGCAGCAACAAGTCTCACAATGGAGACATTACTAGTGCCCACTCGAGCAAATCGATGAACAACGGGAGGACAGTGCAGCGCTTTAGTTTTCATTTATAGGGGACTCACCCAGAAATGCTCAGGGGCCTGGAGCTACTCCCACAGGTGCCATATTACGCTGGGAATTAAGCGCAGGGCCTCACACATGCTAAGTATGTGCTCTAGTATTTGAGCTACCTTTTCAGCCGGTTTTATTTTTGTTGTTGTCTTTGTCATGCTGGGGATCCACCCAGGACCTCCATAGGCAAGGCAAAAGCTCTACTGCTGAGATACATTCCCAGTCATAAATCACTGTCACTGTCACTGTCCTCCCGTTGTTCATCGACTTGCTCGAGCAGGCCCAGTAACATCTCCATATTTTTGAGACCTGTTGCTACTGTGTTTGGCATACTGAATACATCACAGGTAGCTTGCCAGGCTTTGCCATGCGGGTGAGATACTCTCGGTAGCTTGCCGGGTTCTCCCAGGGGGGCAGAGGAATCAAACCCGGCTCAGCTGGGCTGGCTGTGCGCAAGGCAAATGCCCTACGGCTGTGCTATCGCTCCATCGGTGGTTCAGTGGGGGGAGAACATATAATTTTAAAAGGTAAATTGTGACTAAATGTATTCATTAAAATGGACACAATGGAGGGCCAGAGAGATAACACAATGGGTAAGGCCCCTGCCTTGCAGGACACCAACTCGGGTTTTCTTCCCCAATACCCCTTATGGTCCCCTGGGCCGACCCATACTGATACCTTAGTGCAGAGCTAGGAGTAAGGCCTGAGCACAGCCAGGTACGGGGCGGGGGAGAGTTGCCAAAGACTTCAGGGAGTGATGAGGGTGGGGGTAAGAATAATTTCCTAACTGCAAAATGAAGGAAATGCACGCTAGAACAACAGTACAGGATTTTTTTCACCAAAAAAAAAAAGGTATACAATGATGAGTATCACAAATTGTTACTGTGAAGCTATACTTTAATGACTACAGAGTCTAAATTTTACAAAAACAAAATTATTAAAAAGTATTTTATCCCATGAAAGGATACAGTGCTTAGGAATTTATACAAGTGAAACTGTTAAATGAAGATGAAACAAAACTTACAATTCAAGAATCTGGCTGTGTCTAAGGGGGAAAGGAGAGGCAAGCATGAAGATAAGAAAACATAATTAAGGCTAGAGAGAGAATACAGGGGTTGAGGTGCTAGTCTTTCATGTGGTCCCAGGTCAATCTCCCATACTGCATACAGTGTCCCAAACACTGACAGAGCCAGGAATATGCCTTGAGTACTGCCAGATATGGGAAGGAAAGAGAGGAGAGGGGAAGAGGCAGGGGAGGGGAGGGATGAAGAGGGGAGGAGAGATTAGATTATGAGCTTTTATTTTATAAGGCATATTGGTCTCAAACTGGCTAGTGAATGCCTTTGTATTGTACCACAGTAACACTGTCCTCCTGTTGTTCATCGATTTGCTCGAGCAGACACCAGTAACGTCTCCATTGTGAGATTTGTTACTGTTTTTGGCATATCTAATACGCCACGGGGAGCTTGTCAGGCTCTGCCACATGGGCGGGATACTCTCGGTAGCTTGCCGGGCTCTCTGAGAGGGACAGAGCAATGGAACCCGGGTCAGCCATGTGCAAGGCAAATGCCCTACCTGCTGTGCTATCACTCCAGCCCCGCCTTAGTATTTGTTTTAATATTTTATAAAATGGCTTTTTAAAATTTTTTAATTATAAAGTATTATTTTTCACTTGTTTGGAGGTTCTAGCAGGGGAGCGCAGCTACTCGTATACCCTCGACCAAAGACCAGTCCGTCTCTATCGGGGAAGGCCGTCCTCTTCGACTGAGCGCGCAGCTTCGGGAGGGACGCACATGGAGCGGTGAGGGAGGAAGGGGACACCCGCCTAGCCAGCCAGATCAGCCGAATCAACCCTGGCGATCAATGGGGTGACAGATGTCGCAGCCAGATCACCCTCACATCCTCATGCCCTTGATATGGAGCGATAGCACAGCAGTAGGGCGTTTGCCTTGCAAGCAGCCAACAGGGCCGACCCGAGTTCGATTCCTCCGCCCCTCTCGGAGAGCCCGGCAAGCTACCGAGAGTATTCGATATGCCAGACACAGTAACAACAAAGTCTCCAACGGAGACGTTACTGGGCCCGCTCGAGCAAATCGACGATCAACGGGAGGGCCTTTACCTTACCTTACCTATTTTTCACTTGACAAAGAGCACTCAGAATATGAGGAGTGAAAACTATCAAAAGGTTGGAATGTGATTGCAGGAAAGATTACTTCAAAGTTAAAGCCAAAAATTTCCCCAGAATGTAAAGATGAGTTGCTAGTTAATAGGAAAGGGAGGAGGGGAAAGTAGGAAATCAATACAGAAGGATCTATATATGAATAAGAGATATCCAGAAAGAGTTATGATGAAGAAAAGAAATGACACAAAAGAAAAAGCATGAAGTAATTTCTGGGGGCGGTGGGTTGAGGGGTGGGAAGGAGCCTCTGGTAAGGGTGTTGGAACACTGTACGCCTGAAACTCTATCAAAATCAAAGTGCCTAAAATTAAAATATTAAAAATAACACTTTTAAATAAATAACTTCCCTAAAATGAAGAGCAGGAGTTTTCCGACAGTAGGCCCAACTCACTGCCTGGACACACATGGACGTTTATTCCTTAAAGACAAATGTGGGGGACCCAGAGTAGTATCACAGTGGGTCAGATGCGACCTTTGCATGCGGCCGACCCGAGTCGATCCCTGGCATCCCACATGGTCCCCTGAGCACTGCCAGGAGTAACTGCTGAGTATCATCACCAAAAAAAAAAAAAAGTAATAATATTATATTTTTTAAAGAGAGAAAAGGGACTGGAGCAATAGTACAGTGGGTAGGGTGTTTCCCTTACATGTAGCTAAGCCAGGTTCGATCCCCAGCATCTTTGTAGGGTCCCCCAAGCACTGTCAGGAATGATTCCTGAGTACAGAGCTGGAAGTAACCCCTGAGCATTGCCAGGTGTGACCCCAAAGACTAGAAATAAAAATAAATTAAAAAAATTAAAAAGAGATAAAAGCTGGAAGATGGAAAGATGACTGTCCCATTTCACAAGCTCACCACAAAAGTTCACAGCACCAGGGATAAAGGGAAAGTTCTTCTGTTAATTTAAAAAGAAAAAAAATTTTTTCTTTTAATAGGGCCCAAACAAAGTGGTGCTAGAGGCCATGGGGACTGGACCCAGGGCCTTGTGCTTGTCAGGCACAGCTCTGAGAGGGAAGAGTCTTCAGTCCAACAGAGCCGGCAATGGGGAGCATGCGGCCACAAAAACACTATCTCTCAAATTGCAACACTAAAAACCGTAACTTCCAAAATTCTGAGGGGAAATCATTTTTATCCTGTGATCAGCCGAAGCAAGCACCAAAGAAGAAGAAACCATTATTCAGATGTGCAAGGCCTTCAAGATGCTTCCCCCACCCCCACCTGCCCATCCCTCTCTGTGCAGGACCGACTGGAGGGTCCGTCATCAAAATCGGAGGGACATCCGCCATGCTGAGAGCTGGGGCATCCACAGAGGAGAGAGGCACAGAGCGTCTTCTGAAGTTAATCAAAGAAGATCCCAAAGTGAGGGCTCTGCTATTTCGGACCCAAGGGCACCTTAGAAAACTGGAGCAAAGAAAAGCACACACTTCTCGGCCACCGCCTCAGTTTGGTTCACGCTTTGAGAAATTCCAGGCCTGTCATAGGCCTGGGGTGTGACTCAGGTACACAGAAAACTTGGCAAATAACAAAACAATGTAACTATTCACTCCAAAGTAATCTCTCTGCTGACAGCATTTCATACCATCTTAATCCCCTCAACAACAGATACTGACATACCCCAATATTATGTGATATGCATCAGGAGGAAAGGAAGGGGACATGCATGTCATTATTTCACTGCATAATCCACTGCTTAATTATTTCTTAATGCAGCGACAATTATTTTGCAAGAAACAAAAAGTGATATAAAATGTGGAACACTTCTGCAGTGAAACAGTGTCCATTCCAGAGGTAGATGGGGCTGGGGCATCAGCAAAAGCACAGTTTATTAAACTTTTTCCACTTGTGACCCCTTTTTACTCAAAAATTTATTGATTTGGGGGAGGCAGGGCCCACACCCAGCAATACTCAGTGACTACTCCTGGCTCTGTTCTTGGGAGCTATTCCTGGCTCACCCAGGAAATTTTTATGCAGGCCTGGTCATTTGCATATGTACACTAAGTATACAAATGATACATTTGTTGATCATAAATCATAAATAAATTTAAGCCAGAGAGATAGCTCAACAGACTATCTCTGGCACAAGCAGAGTCCAGATGGAGGCGGTCTGGGTTCAACCCAGACACCTCATGGTCTGAGCACTGCCAGGAGCAACCCCCAAACACAGAACTGGGAGTAACCCCCGAGCACCCACAAAAAACAAAAAGGCAGGAACAACTGAAAAAGGTATTTATTCTGGGGCTGGAGGAGAGTACAACAAGGAGGGTGTTTGCCTTGCATGCAGCTGATCCAGGTTTGATTCCTGATACCCTATATAGTTCCCCAAATTTGCCAGGAGTGATTCCTGAGTGCAGAGCAAGGAGTAAGCCCTGAGTGCAGCTGGGTGCCATGCTCCCCCAAAACGAAAAATAAAACAAAACTGAAAATATGAATAAGGAACACTTAATTGTTTCCTTTTTTCTGTTTTATTTGTTCCTTTACCTTTCCAGCAGTAGCAAAATATTCACCATCGGGGGACCATTCCATCAACTGTACAGAGACTGAGGTTCTACAAAAACAAACAAAAAGAGTTAAGCAGCAGTTTTAAAATCTGGAAGACTATAAATAGCCAAAACAAGATTTTCACATCATTAAGGAGTAGAGTGTCCTTACCACTTTAAAAAGAAAGAAATATTTCACTTCCTAAAATATAAATTAATAAAAATTAAGCCAAAGCTCACTCTGGAAATCCAAAGAATGTAGATTAACATGCATAGTTTATATTTCAACCTACAAACATGTCACCATCAACATCCTAAATATAACATGTTAAAAACTGAGCCCATCATCGTCTCAGCTTACTGGGCCTGCATTAATGGTACACCCATCTTCCCACTAGAGAGTGGCAGGAAACGCCCACCTCCTCCCTTCCCTGACATAGCCACATCTTAGCCTTTAATGAGTTCTTTCCATGCACCAGCCCTGACCAGCCACTTCCTGACATTATTACTAAGAAATGTTTCTTTTTTTCTGTTTCTGTTTGTTTTTTTAACAATCAATGGTAGCACAAACAGAAATATGATGTGATAATGGATTAAGGTTCTCACATTTAAGGAAGCCTTCCAAATGCAATAGTATCGTCAAACAAGGAAGATTATTTTGAAAGGGACGATATTTTCGAAAGCATTTTTATTAATAAACACAATAGCATCAGACACTAACTTGCACTGCCAGATGCACTTCCAGTCATTTAAAACAGGAGGGACTTTATTATCGATTTCTTCCTCCTCTTCCAGAATGTCACCTCCTGGGGGGGCCCACAACTGAATAGAATCAGTTGCTGTCAACAATCTGTTGTCTGAAAATTAAAGAATGTTCTGATGAATAAGCCAGGATTACCTAGAGAACAAAATGCACAGATGGGCTTCTACTTAGGTATACGGACTATTTAATCTATGAAAAATAAGCAATATTGTCTATGAAAAGCATAATGTATTTCAACTAAAAGTTTTTGTTTTGAATACTTAAGAATTTTAAGAATGCATTAGGTCTAGGGGAGATTTAACAGAAAATGTTGACAAAAGCTGTATCAGATTAAAATCTTACACACTCACACTCATACACACACATACAAAGAATAACAAAAGATGCCCACCAAACTGATACACAGAACTCAGAATATGGTCTCAAGATAAGCAATACAGGACTGAGGACTCATTAGAACTCTTGTCTTGCAGAAGTTTCCAATCTTTCAAAATTAAAGATAATAATTTCTTTGTGGGAGGAAAGGGCGACACCCAGCAATACTCAGGACTCACTCCTGGCACTGCTCAGGGCTCACTCCTGGAGGGGTTTTGAGGGTCAGTGCCAAGGATCGAATCTGGATCAGCCACTTGCAAGGAAAGTGGCGTGCCTGGCTGAACTACCTTCTCCAACCCTAAACACAGTAACTTCTTGTTATTTGTATATAATAAAATGAGATATGGTCTTTTTGTTCTCTTCTCTCCCCCTCCTCCTTTTCCTCCTCCTCCTCCTCCACCTCCCTCCCTCCCTCTGTCTCTGTCTCTGTCTCTCTCTCTCTCTCTCTCCTCTCTCCTCTCCTCTCACTCTCTCCTCTCTCTCTCTCTTTCTCTCTCTCTCTCTCCCCCCTTACCCTCCCCCTCTCTCATTTCCAAAGGGAGATAAAGTTGAGCAAAACAAGCATCATCGATCTTTTTCCTATTATAGGAGACGAGTGTTGTAACCACATACCTTGAGGGTCCCATGCTAAATTGTACGTCACAGAACTCAAAAAAAACTGTCCAGTTTTAAGCCACTGACACTTGAGTTGCTGCAACATGTAGAGGGAAATAAAAAAGAAGTTTGTTACACGTTAACCGTAAACACCATGGTTCTATCATTTTCTTTAATTTAAGAGCTCATCTGAAACAAAGGTTTAAATATTTCACTATGACTTTCAGAATACCGTATTGAAAGTAACTTTCCATGGCTGGGCTTACTATCCATCTCTCCCTACCAAGCTGCCGGCAAACAAAGAATGTGCCCTGCCCTCAGGCCTTCTTTGGGGCTTCTCTCTTCTCTGCTTTCAAATTCAATGTCCAACAGAAAATGTTTCCTCTGCCACAAAGCCTTAACTTATGTCAGCACCAGAGCACTTTTAACACTGTACCATTAGAAAACTGGTCACCCTGAACTATTACTTTCTCCTACATCTGACTCACCTATTAAACTGCAACCTCCTAGGGCTGGAGCCCTAGTGCTACAGGTAGGGAATCTGCTCTGCACGTGCCCAACCCATGTTCCATCCCTGGCACTCCATACGGTCCTCTGAGTCCACCAGGAGTGACCCTGAGCATAAAATCTAGTGTTAGCCCTGAGCACTGTTGGGTGTGCCCCCCCCAAAAAAAATAAAACGATAAAGAATAAAGTACACTGCACCTCCCCAAGGGCAAGAAGTATACCCAACTCATGAAAATTTCTCTAGTGGCCCAACAGCCAATGCACAGGCGCTGCCAGTTTGTTCAGGAAGTTTCAAGTACAAGTTTCAGACACATTGTGTAAAATGAAGCCACTGCACGTCCTCAAAAAGTCAACACACTGGAGCAATGTGATATATGCAATCCACAAACCTGAGCTATATTTATTTGAATAATGGTCATCCTTTTCTCACTAATGTCATATGAACACTCAGAAACAATCTTTTAAAGTCTAGGATCTTTGACATGACAGTACCTAAGTAGGAAAACATACATAAAAAGGAATTCTTAGATATAGTTGTTGAAATCTATCCTTGCAGTATATCTTGTATAAAACGTCCTTTTAGCAATGCATAGTACAACACAAAGCTGTATTAATATTCGCAAATGGTACATTTACTGCTTGGTAAGTAACAATAATCTAACACACAGGAATTCCTTCTCAGCTGACAATACTTTAAAAATATTTAACAAGGGGCCAGGGAGGGATCAAAGAGATAACTCAGTGGGCTGAGCACATGCTCTGCATGCTGAAGGCCTGGGTTCAATTCCCAGTATCGCATGGTCCCCCAAGCACCACCAGGAGTGATCTCCAAGCACAGAGCTAGAAGTAGCCTCCGAGCATCACCAGGTGTGGTCCTAAACAACAAAATTTTTTAAAGGAAAAACAAGGACCATTGTGATAATGGAAAAGCTGGGGCACATACAGAGACCAGGTTTGATCCATGGCCCTACATGGCACCCCTTGTCCTATCAGGAGTAGGCCCTAAAAACCATCAGGGCGGTTCAAACCATATATATATATATATATATATATATATATATATATATATATAGTTTGTATATATTGTGTATATATATGTATATATACACACACATATATATACTTAACAGTAATTTATTCAAGATTTCATGACTATCTGAAGGTAAGTAAGTAAAGTAAAGGCCCTCCCGTTGATCATCGATTTGCTCGAGTGGGCCCAGTAACGTCTCCATTGGAGACTTTGTTGTTACTGTGTTTGGCATATCGAATATGTCATGGGGAGCTTGCCAGGCTCTGCCGTGCGGGCGAGATACTCTCGGTAGCTTGCCGGGCTCTCCGAGAGGGGCAGAGGAATCGAACTCGGGTCGGCCATGCTGGCTGCGTGCAAGGCAAACGCCCTACCGCTGTGCTATCGCTCCAGCTATCTGAAGGTAAAATTTAGAAATATAATTGTAAAACTTGAAGTTTTCTATCTAAAAGAAGTTTATATTTTGTAATCAATAAAGATGCTAGTTTTCAAATCCTACTATTCCTAACCAAATAATCAGTCATGGTAATATTTAGAACCTTGGTCAACAGGTATATTTTCAAGCAATAATCAAATCATTCCAGACGGTCCTTCTCTTAGTGTTTTTAATGGTATGAAACAGCTGGGTAGTAGAAATTTTGTCATAAGACCTGGAATCTGAAACTTTAAATGTGCTCTTGGTCACTGGTTTTAAGTTGCCAGTTCACAGAAATTTCCAGTTATTCTTCTAAAGAGTTAAAGCCAGAGCCAGAGAAATAGAACAGCAGGTAGAGTGGCAGATACAAGTTAAATCCTCATTATCTCATATGGTGCCCTGAGCATCATCAGGTGTGGTCCAAAAAGAAATCAAAAAAGAAATAAAAAAAAGTTAATACTATATACATGATATATGCCTGAACCATGCATGCAGTGGTTACAAAAACATTTTACAAAGAGGCAGAAAATTTCTGCATACTGGCACCAATCTATGGACCATGCATTAAAAACCACTGTTCTAGGTGACTCTGAAGCACTCCAACATTTGATATCTACTTAATAAAACTCTCAAAGGATAAAAATCTTTTGCTTTCTGAAGGTTTTTTTTTTTTTGAGGGGGGAGGGTCTTGGTTTGGTTTTTGGTTTCTGTGCTACACACAAATGCTGTGTTCAGAGCATACTCCTCTGTGTTCAGGGATCACTCCTGGTGGTGATCAAGGGACCATATGTGGGGTCGAGGATCAAATTTCTAGGTTGACTGTGTTCAAGGCCAAGTGCCTGAGCCATGTATCATCTCTGCTATCCATGACTATAATTCAACATTTTGGGGAAGATGGGGTACATGGGAAATCAAATACATATATAATAAAGAAAAAAAACACCAAAAGCACTTTGTTTTGCTAGATTTAAATGAAGAATTTTGGGGGAGGACTGTGGGAGGACATCGCATCCACCATGTTCAGAGCTTATTCCTGGCTCTGCACTCAGGCGTCACTCATGGCAGGGCTCAGGGGACTATATGGGATGATTAAACCCCACCAGCCACATGCAAGGCAAGCACCCCACTCACTGTACGTCCTCTCCAGCACCAAGAAAGATTTTTTTTAATACTGGTACATGCACTCGTAGTATTCAAATTTCACATTGCCAGTTTGAGTGATGATGGGCATTCTAGAATGCATGAAGTAATTTTTAAGGTGGGTAATAATGAATTCTAATGGTTCTCAATGTGATCTGCTATAGTACTTGGTTGGTGACTGAGATTACCTAAGTTCCTAACTCCTTATTTCAAAAAATATTTAGGAGTACCTACCAGGGTCCAGATACGAAACAAAGTAAAAAGAGGAAACAAATCTTCCCCGTTTTTATGGTGGCAGGAAGTCTACCTACGTATTTAGATTTTAAAGAGTAGTAACCAATCAATCAATCAATCAATCAATACTATCTTGATAAAGGTTTAAAAAGTAGTTTTGAATGGGGGGGACAAAAAATAGAGAGACAAGAGGACTAGAAATAAAGGTGGCAGAAGTAGCACTTTTTTTGTTTCTTTTGTTTTTATTATATAATCAAACTCAGTGCCTCAGATGTGCAGAAGTATGTGTTTCAGCACTGAACTACATGGGGCTGGGGTGGGGTGGGGGGAGGGAGAAAAACAGTAGCAATATTTAAAGGAGGGATCATGTGGATTTTACTGAGATGGTATTACAGTATTACTGCGCAAAATCACAGAATCTGTGAGAGCTGGGTCTATGACCAATTGGAGGGAAAGAAGAAAAGCAGTTTCAGACAAGAAAACCATCAATGTGAAAGACCCTGCCAGAAAACTTCTGCTTGAAGAAAATTAAGTGCTAACAACCTAGAGCCACAGTCAGCACTAGTAGGAGGTGAGATCAAAGAGGTGACAATAGGTGCTGAAGGAAAGGAAGGTGGCATCTTTTATTTATTTTTTGGTTGGGGGGGGGGGCCACACCTGGCAGTGCTCTGGCTCTGCATGAAGGAATCACTCCTGAGATCTCAGAGGACCATAGGAGATGACAGGGATAGAACCTAGGTCTGCCGCATGGAAGGTAAGCATCCAAATTGCTGAACTATCTCTGGCCCCAGTGGCATCTTTTTAATCAGAGAAATATGGAGCAGTTGTGACTCTTATTTATTATTTATTTACATATTAGTTGTGAGGTCACACCCAGCAATGCTTGGGGGCTAGTCTTGGCTCTGTACAAAGCGGTCACTCCTGGTGGTACTCAGAGAAACAAAAGTAGTTCCAGTGATCAACTCATGTCTGCCTCATGCAAGACTTCAGCACTGAAACCCCTGTACAATCTTTCTGGACCCATTTTCAGAGGCTTTTATTGTTTTTTTTTTGTGTGTGTGGGGGATCCACTCAGCAGTGTTCAGACTTACTCCTGGCTCTGAGCTCAGGAATCACTCCTGGAGAGCTGGGGAGACCATATGAGATGCCAGGGATCAAACCCAGGCTGAACACATGCCAGGCAAGTGTCTTACCTGCTGTACTATCATTCTGGCCCCCAATTACAGGATTTTAATGAGAAGTATTATTATTGACTCTGTTGTAAATGAAGATTACGGGGTAGGAGATAGAAAACACGTATCAGACAGAGACCACTCTAGTAACATAGGCAAGAAATAACAGTAGCTCAACTAGATAGATCTCCATTAACTAAGGAAGTCTCAATTAGAAATATTCTAAGCAATTCCTAAAAGCCTTATGAATTTTACTTTCAGCATCTATAAAAAGCCCTTACCACAAAGGACCAGGTCAACTTCATAATAATATTCCATTCCACCATCAGCACTGCTGTCAAGTGGTTTCTCGAGTAAACAATTCTTAAAAGTTCTCCACTACTGTTAAATACTTACACAATTTCTCTTATGAGAGTTTATGCCCAAGGGCTCAAAAATACAAACAGCATTACCATATGAAGCTGCAATCTAAAAAATAAAAATGAAGCATTAATATTTAGGAAAAGATCAATACATTTTAATATTAATACATAAACTAATTACATATATTAAAATATAAAAAAGAGTAGCCATGGTTTAGTCCATCCCACAAATAAAACTGGAAAAAGTATTATACTTAAGAATTTCAAACCAGGGGCTGGAGCCATAGCCCAGCGGGTAGGGCATTTGCCTTGCATACTGCTGACCCGGGTTCGATTCCCAGAATCCCATATGGTCCCTGAGCACCACCAGGAGTGATTACCGAGCGTATGAGCCAGGAGTAACCCCTGTGCATCACTGGGTGTGACCCAAAAAGCAGGAAAAAAAAAGAATTTCAAACCAGGGGGCCAGAGAGATAGTACAGTGGGAGAGGTAGTATAGCAGGTCGGGCATTTGCATTGCACATGGCCAACCCAGATTCGATCTTGGCATCTCATATGGTCCCCCAAGTACTACTAGGAAAAATCCCTAAATGCAGAGCCAGGAGTAACCCCCGAGCATCACCAGGTGTGACCCCAAAAGCCAAAAAATATAATAATAATAAAGAAAGAATTTCAAACCAAGGACCAAAGTGATAGTACAGCAGGTAGAGCACTTTCTAGAATACTGAGGTGCTTAAGTTGTTGCTGGAAAAAGTCTTGTTTTTATATTCTTACAGAGCCTTCAACTATGCTACACAATATTAGTTTACTACATTGGTAGAATACATAATAAAAATGTTAATATTTTACATGTAATAAAAATATTATATTTGAATTATTATGTGTGTGTTTGTGTGTGTGTGTGTGTGTGTGTGTGTGTGTGTGTGTAGTGGCAGGAAGTTTTGGTGATACTAGTGCTAAGGGTTCACTTCTGGTTCTAGGTTCAGCTGTCACTCCTGGAGGTGCTCCAGGACCAGGCAGTGACAAGGATTGAGTGAGGGTCACTTGCACACAAGGCAAGCAACTTCACCCAATGTACTCCTTCTCTGGCCCTGTCTTAAAATTTTAAGAAGTACACATGAAGTCTGAATTATTTCCCAAAAAGATCCTATTCAAAGAGTGAATGAACTTTTAAGGTGCTTCACTCCACAGAAACTTTATAAGTAACTGTCACGCAAATATGTCACTCTGACAACTTGCTACATGTCTTTATAAAATTTTTTATCATTTTTGGTAGTAAAGAATATCAGGTGAGAAGATGAAAAGTCTACACTTTTTATATCGCACAGGATAGTGAGACCTACAGATCTATGCAGACAGTATGCATCTGTAGAACATATAAATATCACTTTATTGGGGCTGGAGCGATAGTACAGCGGGTAGGGCATTTGCCTTGCATGTGGCCAACCCAGGTTCAATTTCCAGCATCCCATATAGTCCCCTGAGCACCGCCAAGAGTAATTCCTGAGTGGATGAGCCAGGAGTAACCCTTGTGCAACTCCGGATGTGAACCAAAAAAAAAAAAAGCAAAAATAATAACAATAATAAATGTTACTTAATCAACTTAATGGAAACTTAAAATTTGCAATTTACCTGTTACCCACTTCAGTCAATAGACATCTGAGCAAGGTGTTAAAGAAATTCATGGCAAATACCTGTCTATTTTTTGTTCTTGTTGTTCTTTTTGGGTCAAGCCTGGCAATGCTCAGGGGTTACTCCTGGCTTTGCATTCAGGAATCACTCCTGGCGGTGCTCAGGGGACCGAACTTGGGTCGGCCACGTGCAAGGCAAAATGCCCTACCCACTGTACTATCACTCCAGCCCCCAGCAAAGACCTCTCTAGAAAGATATCAATTTTATGGCACTGTTCAATAGATTTGAAGATGGTGTTTAATAGAGAAGCTGAATCCTTACCCTTCCATGTTGGTGTGAACACTCCACACAGCTGACTTGGATGTTTCCATGCTTAGCACCAGGAATGATCTGTACACATTCAAAGTCACTGGCCAAAATAACAATGTCACAGCCTGATCCATATGCCTAAAAAGAAAAGCACAATCTTAGATCTTGTTGCCTATTATAAAGCAGACTGACAGATTTTATGATAGTCAATACAATAATATGGAACACATCAATTTCCAAATGAGAATATTAAAGAAGAAAATAGAATGAAATACAACTCCGTGAATTATCATTAAACAACTGTGAATCGGAAAAGCCTTCTTGTGGTTTCAACACTAAAATCTCTGTTCCTACAGGTCACAAGAGTGTCTCTCAGAGCTAGAGAGTTGGCTCACAGGGCTAGTCTTGCCCAAGTTCAATCTCAGTACCTCTAAGTCCACAAAGCACCACCAGAAATGATCCTGGAGCATCTTCCAGGAGTATTCTGCTAGAGCATCACTGAGTATGGCCCGACAACAACCCCCCCCCCTAAAAAAAACCATTTTACCTCAAAAATTCACTATAGGGGGCCGGAGCTATAGTATAGCAATAGGGCATTTGCCTTGTACTTGGCCAACCCAGGTTCAATCCTTGTGATTCCATATGGTCCCCTGAGCACCACCAGGAATAATTCCTGAGTGCAGAGCCAGGAGTAACCCCTGAGCATCGCTGGGTGTGACCCAAAAAAGAAAAAAAAATTCACTATAGTCTTATAGTAAAACCTCAGGAATAAAACTCCATCTGAAAGTTGTAAGACACTGATGACTGCAAATGTCTGCGCCCAGGCTTAAAACAGGTGCGAGAAAGTTCCACAGAGAAATCAGATACATTTTCCAACACACTTGCACGTGGCTTAAGGAACTAGTTAAAAAGACATGAACACCCAAGATGAAATTACATGCGCTAAGACAAAGAATAAATTAAGCCCACTGACTACCCACGTGAAATCATCATACAGGCTGTCTGTCCTCGTCCCCCAAATCTATCAAACATAATGGGGAAAGCATATCAACGTGGTCTCATTTAAAAAGAAAAAAATAGGGGCCAGATACCATGGTGAATAGGGCACGTGCCTGCATACTGCAGACCTAAGTTCAACCTCTGGCTCCCCAAATGGTCCCCTGAACCCTGCCAGGAGTGATTCCTGAGTGCAGAGGCGGGAAGAAGCCTTGTTCACCGCTGGGTGTGGCCCAGGAACAAAACAAAACAAAACAAAAAGTAAGGTTAAATAAAAAATAAACTGAATTATACAAAACAGAGGGTAACTATAACTATGGGTCCGGAAAATGAACTGCAACAAAAAATAAGTTCCTGGAAAATTCCTTCCTTCAGCCTAACTATGAGTAAAACCACATATTTCACATAGTTGCTACACTTCTGAGCATACACTAGTTCTGCTTTGCAACTCTGTGAATTTTATGAAGACATAAGGGGCATAGAGAGTAGGGACATTATCATTGTTCTTCAAAACCTGACTTTACTTAAATATTAAAGGCAATCGAAATCATTCTCAGAACTAGAAAGATATTATAGTGGTGAAGGTGCTGACCTTCCATATAGCTGACCTTCATACAATCTCCAGCACCCCATATGGACCTCAAGCCCCCCAGAAGTGATCCCTGAGTACAGAGCCAGAAGTAAGCCCTGAGCACAGCTGGATGAGACTCCAAAAACAATCTTCAAAATAAACATCTCGTTAAAAAAATTGTTTTTATGAGGTGGTATTTTCCCCCACAATTTCCATATCCTCAAACCATAAGGTCATGTTCTAGAAAATACAGCTATCCAGCAGGCAGGTTTGACAGGTGATGGCATCTAAGTCTCTGACCTACGCCTTAAGAAGATCCAACTATAGCTGCTCCTGAAAGAGGGAAATGGAGGTAAGGATCTGATAGACAAACTTGTTTCAGATGCTTTTAACACATCCAATACTGCAAAAACTAAACCATCTTCAATTCACGTGTATATAAATACAGAAACGCCCACCAAAGAAAAAAGCAAAGACAGAAGGGAAATCATGCATTCAGGAAAGCTAAATTGAAAGAGGATAATGTGTACAGGCAGACGAAATGTCCCCTAATACTGTGCTCATCTTTAAAATCATATCATTTATGGCACAGAGAGCACCACCAGGATCACTTCTGAGAATGAAGTCAGGAGTAAAACCCTCTAGGTGTGGTCCAAACCTCTCCCAAAAAATCAAAACTAAACACTGGAGTGATAGAACACCAGGCCGAGCACTTCCCTTGCATGCAGCCAACCCAGGTTCAATGACAAGCACCCTAAATGGTGCAAAGCCCTTCCAGCAGTGACAATAACAATAAGCATTAATAAAATATTATTTAAATGTCAATGGATTGAACTTCTGAATCAAAAGATACAGAGTAGCAGGTTGGATCATAAAATAAAATCCAGGCCCAGAGCACTAGTACAGCACTACAGCACTGGAGCACTGTCCTCCCGATGTTCATCAATTTGCTCACGCAGGCACCAGTAACATCTCCATTGTGAGACTTGTTACGGTTTTGGGCATATCAGGTATGTCACGGGAAGCTTTCCAGGCTTTGCTGTGCGGGCAGGATACTCTCTATAGCATGCCAGACTCTCCGAGAAGGGCAGAGGAATCCAACCCAGGTCGGCCACATGAAAGGCAAACACCCTACCCGCAATGCTATCACTCAAGTCCAATAGTACGGGCATTTGCCTAGCGCATGGCCAACCCAGGGATGACCCAAGTTCGATCCCCAGCATCCTATATGGTCCCCCAAGAATTGCCCGGAGTAACTGCTGAGTGAAAAACCAGGAGTGAGACCAGAGCAATAGGACAGTGGGGAGAGCATTTGCGTTACACACAGTCAACCCAGGTTTGATCCCCAGCATCCCAAATGGTCCCCTGAGTACCGCTAGGAATAATTCCCGAGTGCAAAGTCAGGAGTAACCCCTGAGCATTGCAGGGTGTGATCCAAAAAAGAAAATAACAAAGAAAAAAAAACCAGCAGTAACCCCTGAGCATCTCTGGGTGTGGCAAAAAAAAAAAAGGCCTAAATAAATAGTAGTGTAGCACTGTCCTCCCAATGTTCCTCTATTTGCTCAAGCAGGCCCAGTAACATGTCCATTGCAAGACTTGTTGTTACTATGTTTGGCATATCGAATACATCACGGGGAGCTTGCCAGGCTTTGCCGTGTGGGTGAGCTACTTTCAATAGCTTGCTGGGCTCTCCGAGAGGGGCGGAGGAATCGAACATGGGTAGGCCACGTGCTAGTACAGCGGGCAGGATGTCTGCCTTGCATGCAGCCGACCAGGCCAACCTGAGTTCAATTCCTCCACCCTCTCAGAGAACCCAGCAAGCTACCGAGAGTATGGCAAGCTACCCGTGATGTATTCGATATGCCAAACACAGTAACAACAAGTCTCGCAGTGGACACGTTACTGGGTCCGCTTGAGAAAATCGATGAACAATGGCCTAAATTAATTAATTAATTAATTAAATTCAACCTACTGCTGCTTATAAGACACACTTGAACTCTCATGATAAACACAAGCTCAGAGTAAAAGGCTGGAAGATAATCACGCAGACTAACATGAGACTGAAAAAAGCAGGGACAGCCACACTTGTACCGGACCAAATGGCATTCAAGCTAAAGAACACAGGAAGAGATAGGGCCAGGCATTAGATGCTGGCCAATGATCGACAGGCAAGAGGATGTAACTCCTACAGCATGCATGCACCAAATGAAGGAGCAGCAAAGTTTATCCAACACCTGCTCCTGGAACTGAAGAGCAATACTGATGGCAACACAACAGCAGTGGGAGACTCTAACAACCCACTCCCATCACTGGACAGATGAATCGGACAGAACACCGATGAGGAACCAAAGCCCTAAATGAGGAAGTGGAAGACGGATGAAAAGACATGAAGAGCCCAAAACAGTGCAGCAGGTAAGGCACTGACTTAGCACGCATCCCACAGACACCGCATCTGGTCTCCTGAGCTTCACCAGAAGTGATCCCTGAGCACAGAGCCAAGAAAAGCCCTGCGCAAAGTCAGGGGTGCCCCTTCCCCGCCCCCAAAAAAAGGTACATCAGTGGTGTAGAGGTGAGTTATGTGTACATAGCTAAAGCACACCAACACTGTAAGGAGGAGACCCAAACTACAAGAACCAGACTGAGAACAGGATGTGGGGGCGGAGGGAACCTGGGAACATTGGTGGAGGGAAGTTCACACTGGTGGTGGACGGGATTAGTGTTAGAATATTGTATGCCTGAAACTCTATTATGAACAACTTCGTAAATTATGGTGTCTTAGTAGCTTTTTTTCAAGTGGCCAAAGCAATAGAACAGCATGTAATGTGCTTTACTTGCACACAGTTGACCCAAGTTTGATCCCTGAGTCCGACTAGGAGTGATCCCTGAGCGCAGAGCCAAGAGTAAGCCTGAGCTCAGCTGGGCATGGTCCCCACTGCCCCCAAAAAAATTTTCAAGTAACAAACATGTACAGAACCCTCCATCTACTAACGCCAAATACTCAATCATATCCAGTGGGAGACCACATGCTGGGGCACAATTCAAGTGTCCATAAAGTCATGAAACTAGACATCCTATCAAGCATCTTCTCAGAGCAGTGAAGAGAAGGTAAGATTCACTATGAAGTCAGGGAAAGCTGAAACACTTGGAAACCGAACATATTGTTCAGTTCACTGAACAACTGACGGAAATCAAAGAAGAAATGAAAACATTCCTCAAGACAGAATAAAGACACAAGCTATCAGAATCTATGGAACACAGCAAAAGTAGGACTAAGGGCATTCATGCCACCCTCACAGCCAACTTTTAAAGGCTTGTCCTGGGCCCCCTCACGCAAGAGACAAAATCTGCTATAAAACCCAGGTATTCAGGACCAGTGACTGAAAAAACCATGCCTCGTAGTGGGCCACCCCTGCCCATCTCCCAGCCCCTCTGGGAACCTGCCTGTCACACTCATGATCTGCCTCCAGGTGCCATTTAAATGCATCAATGGCCATGATCCAGAGACTCACAAATGAGCAGCTCAATGCAGGGATAGCTCTGGGCTCCAATTATTTAGATTTTTACATTCCCA